GTTAAAAGAAAAGGGTCCATAGGGCTGGGGATGTGGCAGAGGTTTTGCCTCGTATGCTTAAGGCCCTGCCTATGTTCATGCCCAGTACTACAAAAGAGAGAGAGAGAGAGAGAGAGAGAGAGAGAGAGAGAGAGAGAGAGACAGAAAAGGCCCCCTTTTTTGGTAAATAACCCTTGCAACACCATTACCCACTTCAAGTATCTATAGTTCTGTGAAAAATGATTCTAAAACACAGTGACTCAGAAAGCAATTACTCCATGATGGGGGAGTGGGCAGGGCTCCCTTGAGGAGACATAGGGCCCTGCACCCAGCTGGGGTCCCTCCTACCAGGAAACCTTCTTCCAGCTTCCCATGATGTGACCTGACCTTGGAGACTCCAGACCAGTCCTGTGCCCCCACTTCCCCTCTCCACAGCTCCAGGCCCGTCTGGCCCATACTCAGGGCTGGCATACCTGATCACCTAGAAATGGAAGGCCAGCGAGATTGTCTGATGTACCCACCAAGCCCTCCCCATCTCATCCTGTTACAACTTCAGGGCTAGGATTGTAGCTCTTCTCAGTGCGAAAATCTGAGGTTGAAGACAGATGCTTCAGTACACACCCAACACACACTGGTGTGCCAGACAACCCACCTCATTTCCTGACCAACAATCTGCGTGCAAAATAAGGTGGGCAGAACAAGCATCTTACACATTTGAACTTGGCTTGGTGGTACATACCTGTAACTCTAGCACTCAGGAGGCTGAGACAGGAAGATGGCAAATTTAAAACTAGTTTGGTCTGTATAGCAAGACCAGTTTTTGGGGAAAAAAAGATAGGATAGTGATTGCTTTTTTTTTTTTTTTTTTTTTTTTTTTTTAGTCAGGGTCTCTCTATGCAGCTCAGGCTGGCCTTAAAGCTTGCTTTGTAGCCCACGCTGGTCTCAGCCTCTCAATGATTCTCCTGCTTCAGCCTCCTGAGTGCAGGGAATACAGACTTATGACACCAAGCCCAGCTTTTTTGTTTTGTTTTGTTTTTGTTTTCAGAACTGGGGATTGAACTCAGGCCCTTGGGCTTGCCAGGGAAGCACTTATTCTACCGAGCCATCTCCCTGGCCCCACAGGTTTTTTTTTTTTTTTAATGTTTTATTTATTTGGCACAGGATCTTGCTACCTAGCTCAGGCTCGGAGTGATCCTCCTGTCTCAGCCTTCTCAGTGCTGGGATTATAGGTGTGTACTACCACATTCACTTTCAGTGGCTGCCTCAATGTAGTGCAGGCCACATAATCATAAATATGTATTGAGAAGAGATTTATATTCTGGTAATGTCTGGCAATGTTTTATCTTTCTTGTTGCGGACACACATACCTGATGCCCACAGTTTATTTTTATTTTTTAATTTTTTATTAGTATTAATTTTTTTTTGTGGAACCAAGGTTGAACTCAGGCCCTTGTGCTTGCCAGGCAAGTGCTTATTCTACTGAGCCATCTCCCCAGACCACGCCCACAGTTTAAAGGAGAGGTTTACTTTGGCTCACAGTTTGTAGAGGTTTCAGTCCCTAGTTGGCTGGCTCCAAGTCAAGGTGGTGTGGCAGAGGTGCCTGTCAGGTGGCACTAGCAGGGCATGGAGGCAGGAAGAAGGCTGTTGCTCTCAGGCAAGCCCACCACCAGGCTTCACTGCCCAGCATCACAGCCCACTGTACAATGGACTGATCACTATCACCCAGATCCAGTCACCTTCCCAAGCCCTACCTGTGAGCTCATGAGGCTGTAGGGGGACACCGAGATGTCAGCCAGAAGAGTCTACCTCAGGGGAGATAGCTTGGTAGAATAAACGTTTGCCTGGCAAGCACAAGATCCCGAGTTCAATCCCCAGTACCACACACACACACAAAAGTCTACCTCAGGCCTCCAAAAGACTCATGCACATTCCTTTATGCAAAATGCATTTAGTTAATCTCTGGTAGTTTCCAAAATAGTTTCAGCATTGCTGAAAAATCTAAACTCTCTGAGATTTAAGGCAAACTCTTTGCTACAAGCCCCCGTACAAATAAAAAAGAATAGGATCAAAGCAATAGTAAAACTCAGCATGCTAAACATTAAATTCCATAGTTTGATGTCCAGCACCTGGGGCAATCTGTGGCATGATGTGAGTTTCAAATGGCTTGTGTCGCTCTGCTCCTACAGCACTGCTGGTGATTGTAGCTTCTTCCATGGCTTCTCTGTTGGGCCGGCTCTGCTCACTCCTTGCAACTTTCCTTTTTTTGTATTTTTAGGGAAGGGTCTACAGGGTGTTCAGGGTCTTACTACTAAATTGGATTCGTAGTGATCTGCCTGTTTACAACCTCCCAAGAGTTGGGATTACAGGAGTGCACCACCACGCCATCTCAACTGCTGTCTCAGCGTGCCCTGGGGCAGGCCAGCACGGCAGTCCAGGGGAATGAACCCCCAGCCCCTGTGCCTGCTTGCAGGTACTTTAATCTATTGAGCTATTTGGCCACAGCCTTTCTAAGAAAGAAAGGCTCTTCACTGTACACTTACAGCCTCACACATTGCACTCTCAGGGACATAATGCTTGGTCTCCTCAGACCCTACAACTGTGGATGCTACAGAGATCTGTTGCGGGCTAGAGCAGTAGCCATATTTCCTTCTCTCTTAGCTTTAGGAGTCCAGTATCTGGATTGC